CATCGGCTAATTTCAAAATCAGCAAAGACAGCAATAAGAGAGATCGGCAACAGAACTGGTAAGATCATTTCATTTCTTTACTTTTAATGAAGATGGTAGTGTTAAGCGTCTGCGACTTACTTTCACTTTGATTTGCGATAGATTGCGGCGCTTGATGAAGGGGCTCAGCTCAGCTGCTCAGGTGATGCGCGTCGTCATATATGACTAAAATATCATGACATATAGCTTGGTTTCAACAACCAGATGCATTTACACTTGTCCAGTTTCGTCTGGAATACGGCACTGACCACGTCCTCAAGTGGTTTGAGCGATCGAATTCAAATCCGTCTCGAATGCGTTTCGGAGGGCATTTACAGGTCTTTTCACGATCGAATAGCTATCCGATCACAGAAAACACATGAAGTGACCAGGTGTAAACAGCCCCTTTGAATCCATCGTCTACTTTTGTGGAAAGCTGACTAGAGTTGTGTCGCTCGAGTTGTCTTCTCTGATACGGAGAACGGCGGCGAATAGCTACACGAACCTGCCAGACATAGCCAGGCGAGCGTGAACGCGCATGACGTCACGCCCAGTCTCTGATTCGAGCCCGAATCCCTCTTATATATTTCACTGTACAGGGTTATAGAGGCGATCGCAGTGATCAAAGAAGGGCTCATTCAGCCCATCAGGCGATTGTTTAAGCATGTATGGGTTAGAAAACGGCTATTTTTAACATGAAAAGTTGCGCAATGCACCTTTAACTTCAAATGTTAACTTCAAATAATACTAATAGCCTAATTTAAAGATAAGGCAGCATTGGATCTGGACGGTAAGGAGAATAACGCTGGAGTTGGAAGAGGTGTGTCGCGATTCTGTAGGTTCGTGGATATGAGTCGTGTGGCGAATCGCGATTTCGGTTTCATATTGCATATCGTTACAGCCCCAAAGTTAAGTTCTACTTCTGTAGTTATTTTGGTGAAAGTAACTCAAAAGTAATACATGAGTAATGTAACGCATTACAATTCTGAGACAGTAATATTGTAAGGTAATGAATTACTTTTAAATAACAGTAACAAGTAATACCTAATGTATTACAGTTTGGAAGTAACTTGCACAACACTGTTTATATTTATAATAGATAAATTAGCACTCAAAATTAACAGTTGGGTCATAAAAATAATGAACAATGTAAATTTTAAATTAAGACTTCATTTTACAATTAGTATTTATGCAGAATAAAATAAAACTATAAATACCAGATTTTAATAAAATTATAGATGAAAATGGTGAGAAATTAAAGTGTGCTCAAATATAATAAACTGGGTCATATACAAATAATTACAAATTTATCTTTAAAATTATTTAAAATTTGCTACCATCATCCATAGGGGTGTAACGGTACACAAAAATCACGGTTCGGTACGTACCTCGGTTTTAAAGTCACGGTTCGGTACGTTTTCGATACAGCAAAAAGAAAGAAATGCCAGAGAAATTTCCTGTTTAAAGAAAAAATATTTTTAAATAAGTGTGAGTTTTCCTAGATCTTGAAACTTTCAGGTTTATAAATGAGGGTCATCTTTGAAGAATGAACAAATAATGTTTTGGTCATCACATTAAAAATAACATTTAAATATATATTTATATAATATTTGAATTTTGAAGTGCTGGAAGTACTTGAAAGCATTTCACCATTCCAGCCAAACTGGTTCCAGTTAGTGTTACTATATTAAATCCATGGTGAATGTTGCTGGTCTGTGGACGAAAGTATTACTAGTTCATTCACGGCACAATGTTTCTCCTGGTTTCCATGACAGCGCTGTTTGATCTAATAGAGATCTACGGTTAATAACGGAGAAATGTGAATGCATCTCACTAGATCTCGCAGCGATGTTATTACCTCAGTGGCGAATTCAAATGTTTTCTTTACCGGATCTCTTAGTGCGGTGTGGTAACAGTGTTGCTTGATCGAGATCGGCTCGCGCTGCACAGATGTTGCTGGTCCGAACTGATAAACGATCCGTGAAGCACATAACGAGTAGCGCAGTTTCGTTCTGCTTTCATTACGCTTGCCATTTGATGTTGCGCAACGTTGTGTTGGCCGCGTCAGCACGAATTTTGCCGGCAGGAAAAATGGTCCAAGCAATCGTTCGGTTTGTATGCGTACCGAACCGGAAGCCTCGAACCGAAACGGTTCAATACGAATACATGTACCGTTACACCCCTAATCATCCATGTTCCCAAAAAAGCATCCACCAACAATTAGAACGACTTTAGAACGGTTGCACTAACACAAATAATCATGAAGTGCTTTGAGAGATTGGTTGCACAGTACATCAAATCCAGCCTTCCCCCCAACTTTAACATACCAATTTACATAGCGCAAATAGGTCTGTAGACGCTGCAGATACCCTCCACATGGACCTTAACCATCTTGAGCAGAAGGGAACTTATCTAAGAATGCATAGATTAAAGTTCAGCGTTCAATGCAAATATCCCATACATTCTAGTCAGCAAACTGACTGACCTGATCCTCTTCTTCCATCTGAACCTTGATAAAGGACTTCCTCACAAACCTCCCACAAACTGTTAAGCTTGGCCCTCACCTCTCTTCCACCAGCTACTCCTTGTACACATATGACTGCACTACCATTCATTCTACCAACAAAATAATCAAATTCGCTGACGATGCTACAGTGATTGGACTCATCTCGGGATACAGAGATGAAGTCCAGAAACTAGTGCTGTGGTGCTCTGCTAACAACTTGTCTTTGAACACTTCAAAAACAAAAGAGCTCATTCTTGACTTCAGGGGGCGTAGTGCAAAACCAGACCCATTATATCAATGGGGACTGTGTGGAGAGGGTCCACACCTTAAGTTCGTTGAAGTCCACATATCCAACGACCTCTCTTGGTCTGAAAACACCACAGAAATAATCAAAAAGCGTCAGCAACGGTCACATTTGCTTTGAGTGCTAAGGAAAAACAACATAGAGGGTAAATTGCTGGTGTCCTTTTACCATTTGTCCATCGGAAGTGTGTTAGTGTACGGCATCTCAGTGTGGTACTCCAGTTGCAATGCAGCATACAGTATAAGACAGCCCTCCAAAGGATAGTAAATACAGCCCAAAAAAACAGTATAGCTGCTCACTTCCCTACCTGGAAATCATTGCTCGCTCCCACAATCTATTAAGGGCCAACAACATTATCAATGACACATCACATCCAGGACATCACCTGTTTAATCTCTTGCCATCAGGCAGGTCCTTAAGAACAAGGACCAAATGATTACAGGACTGTTTCTTTCCAATTGCCATCCAGACTAAATTCAAAAATGCACTAAAGGCAAAGTATGTCAATAAGAAATATCATCACGTGAATTCTATCCTTGTAAAATTGTAAATGTCTTATTTATTGTTTGTGGTTATATGATTTTCCTGTAAATGCGCAACGCATTCTCACCCCAAGGCGTCACCTTTGACCATGCTTCAATATTTGACGTTTTAGGCGCCCTTTAGCGTCACTTATATGACGCCATCCTACGGCGTCCTTTACCTGACGCTAAAGGAAAGCGTCAGTTAGAGGACACGGTTAGGTTTAGGTGTGGGGTGGGGGTAGGGTACACGCGATCCTAGGGCGTCATCATACTGACGCTAAAGGGCGCCTAAAGCGTCAGATATTGAAGCATGTCCAAATGCTTCCCAAGGCGTCAGTTAAGTGACGCCTTGGGGGTGAGAATGGGCTGAAATGCGAGTCAGGAGTAGTGTTCCTAATTTCATTGCATGCAACTACAACGATAATAAAGTCTTTAATTCAATTCAATTCAATTCAATAAAGAATAATAATAAATATAACAGATTATGCTAAATAAATATGCAAATGGTGGGAAATTACAGCGCTCGAATACAATATAATTGGGTCATATACAATACAAATACTTAAAAGTTCTATTTTAAATCTTTTTTTTCGGTTATAATAATTATTCATTAAGAATCATTAAAAATATATATATATGACAGATTATAATAAAAAATAAAATGATAATTTGACCATTGTTAAATGTATATACATACTCAAATATAACAAAATTATACATAATGAAAGTTAGCATTTATAGCTTCTCAAATGCACCTGCTAATTGCTTAAAGGCAATGTAAAGCAGCTGTTACAGTTACTTATTAACACCATCAATGGTCCTTCTTTCACACTGCTCTCATTGTTCGCCTTCAGAAGAAACAACTTGATGGACAGGAAGCGTTTAACATAGCCTATATGCATATGGTTTACACTATAGCATGTTGTCCTTTTTTTTTTTTTTTTTAAATGTGCCAAAACTCCTTCGGCTTACAGGCAGTAGCTGACGTTACTTTCTGGTAGACAGACTGTGAGAGAGAAAGTTTATTGGAGGATGGAAAGAGAACTGAGGATGGGGGTTAGAAAGATCAAATATCCATTTAATTAATTCAAGAAAGGGCAATAAAACTGTTTTAATTAACTCAAGGGTCAGGCTCTATACCCAAATTTCGCTCCGATTAGTGGCCCATCTTTACTCCTTATGTTCCTACGATGCATATAAAACCTAATGGCATTATAGCCTAAGTGCTATCACATTTTCTTACCCTTACTCTAGTTACTCTACCCCATGAATACATGTAAAAACATTAATTATAAATAAAAACAACAGAGGATTGCAGTAGTTTGAGGATGGTAACACTACAGTATAATATTGCTCACAAATATATGTAGCTATTTTTATTTTTTTTATATTGAAATAACTTTATTAATAGGGCCACATTTGTTGGGAAGCACAGTTTAGGAACATAGCAATGGATCATAGAAAAGAGAAGGGCCTGAAAAATCCTCCTGTTCCTGCTGTCCCGCAGTGAGGCTGATCCCTCATGCGCTGGGCCGCAGAGTCCCTGACTACAGTGCTCCATCACCCTGGTCAACGTGACGCATGAAGGTGCCCCTGCTCACAGCGGGACCCTCGCAGGGATTTTCAGAAGCACAGATCTGACGTTACAGTCTAGCTGATGGTCAGTGCCATGTGATTAAACGTTTCTTTATGTCACTCTCATAAGTCATCATAGCTCTTGTGATCAGGTTTGCATTTACCCATGATTCTTTAACTATAAGCAGTGTTGGTTTGGCTTTTTGGCCTGTGAGGAATGTATCGAAGCACATATGTCCACCATTCTTGCTTTGAAAAAACTTCTTAATGAGCATAAAGTCCATTGCCAAGAAAGTAAGAAAAGGACTTTAAAAAGGAGAAGGGAAAAAAAAAAAAGAAAAACTCTCATTGACTTTCTTTTTCTGCTTTGGAGTGGCCTTAATTGCGAGACATTTATGCAGAGAAAAAGGAGACTGGATTTGTTTTGTCTGTCTCGTCGATGGTCGTTTCATTGCAACAGATGCTGAAAGACAGATTTGTTCAATTTAAAATCAAAAGGTACAAGCTGGGGCTTTTATGTCCTATTTTTTCCCATTTCTAAAGGAGCTTAATATCCTGTCATCACACTTGTATAATGAAAGTATTTCAAGGAAGTGTTCTGAAGGTGGACTATGGGATGTTTTACATGCCTTCAAATTGCTTGAATTCAATCTGTATACTGTATTGCATTGTCATTATAATTATCATCCATTTTCCATTTCAGCAATTGACGTGATTGGTCATGTAACACTGTTATGCACTACACACTTTAAAGCTCAGTTCACTGTTGGGCTTTCAAAGTACATTAGAATTCTTACACCAATATATCTTACATTGTAGCCTTGTCTCATTAGTATTCATACACAACAATCTTTTGTATGTTTGAGTGTACATCCAAACATACAAAAATCGTTGTGTATGAATACTAATGAGACAAGGCCTAATGTAAGATATAGTGGTGTAAGAATTCTAATCAATTCAAATATGGGCCAATTGCAACCAATGGGCTTTATGCCCAGCTGCACTACTTCCTGAACTTCAGCCAGCTTCTTGTTTCCTGTCTGCCATTATTGGCCAAATTGATTAATTCAGGTGTGTCTGATTATTGTTGCCATGACAACTGAGGTTAAGCACACCTGGATTAATCAATTTGGCCAATAATTGCAGACAGGAAACAAGTAGCTGGCTGAAGTTCAGGAAGTAGTGCAGCTGGGCATAAAGCCCATTGGCTGTGCCCTATAAGGAACGATGTGATTACAAATCAGATTGAGTTAGGGATCTATCAGTCTCCATCATATGGAGTTTCATGACAGAATTTTGTATAAATATATTTGGATAGTTGCATTTTACTATCATATCAATATTTTTTAGGTTTGAAAACGGCCTTCACCAATTTGGTGAAAATATTAAATGGCATTGATAAAAATAATAATAAATTAAAAACTCATTACATTTTCAATTAATCTATTAATCTATAATTTGTATGTCTCTATACACTGTAAAAAATATTGTTGGCTTAACTTAAACAAATAAGTAACCTGGCTGCCTTAAAATTTTAAGTTAATTAAAATGGAAAAATTGAGTTAATACAATGAAGGAGATTGATGTAATCATCAGAAACTCAAAATATTATGTAATCTGAACTATATAAATTATTTAAAGTTGATTTGACAAAAGAAAAAATGTTGTGATTACAAATCATGAAAATTCTTTTTACAGTAGTAGTTAATGTGCTAGAACCACATTTGCGGTATTCATACCTATGATTACTAATGAGATCATGTTGTGCAATAAAATATTTTGGCATTATATTATTTGTAGCCAATAACAATTACTTTAGTATATAGTCTTGGCAAAAAAAAAAAATAAATAAATAAATGAAATTAAATTAAATAAATAAAATACTTTGTTGGGAACACAGAGATACTTTATAACCCTATCAAATCAATTACTACAGTTCTCACAATCTTTAACAACATGAATTTAAATAATAATAAAAAAAAAACAAATATAAAATTAAATATAATTTTCACAAGAGATGGAAATGAGCAGCTGACACTGGCCTGACACAGAGAGCCACAGATAATGATTCCTGCTTTATTTTGACCAACCAGTGCTTAATTAAAGCCACATAGCTTCTGTTTGCCGCGCTACAGTCGAACCCTCGGCTCAAGCTTATTCAAATGGCAGTCCCTAAGGGACAAATCCAAACTTGGGTGAGATGGCAAGCTGTTCTGCATCACTACGGCAACACCTGCTATTACAGGTTCCGTCTGCCAGTCAACCTGGCCCAACGGGGGGCGAGCGGACCACAAAAAACATTTGTACCTACAAAATTCCTGATTAGCATACCTGTGGGAATAATGGACAGAGGGAAAAGGGGGAGAGGGGGGAAAATTACCAAGATTTAGAGAGTCTTCACAGATTACACAAACAGGGTTTTTTTTTTTTCATCACAGTTTATCATGCAGCAGCAAACATCATTTCTGACATGACTGCAAGAAATTTCTGTGCATTGCCACTCCTGAGGTCTCGAAAACGTACTCCCCTAAGGGCACAGGAAATCATCGGTGCACATATGTAGAACACTGTGTCTTGAAAAGCATGTTAACAAGCCTTTTGCGGCCCGTTATTCAGATCATGGTTGGGAGCCGATGCTTTCCGAGCTGTCAGTTAGTTGGGATGAGCCCCTCACCTGACATTGTACAGTTACACTTGACTGATCCTCATAACCAAACTTTCATCAAGTAAGCCATTTAATTCTAAATAAGGTTTAACAGTCAATCAAAAAAATGTATTCCACTCAAATGGATAAAAATCTACGACCTGTCTTTATGTCCACAAATTCACTAATCAGTGTTTGTAAAGACATAATTAAAAAAAAAAAAAATCAAAAATGATTCATTTAAAAGAAAAGTTCACTGCATGCTTACAATGGTGATAAATGCTATGAGATCACCAAGCTGGATCTGTGGCACAGTGGTAGTTGTTTTGTCCAGTGGGGATTCAGGTTCAAATTTACAGTGACATGTTTTATTCCCATTCTCCACTGCCATGCGGCAATTGTCAATGAATGCTCTACCATGAGAATTCTCATTCCAATCAGTTTGTTCAGTTAAAAAATGATTAACTGATTCATCTGAATGCTGAAGAGTCATTTTAGAGAATCAGTTCATTCATGTCAGGCTCAAAAATGTCTAAACCAGTATCATAAAAGTTGCTCATATGGCTCTTAAATAGCAAATTCTCTCATTAATGTGCACATTATTGTCACTTTTTTAATTAATGTCTTTCAAAAATGAACTTACTTTATGTTGTTCAATAAACTCTTCAAAATAATTTAACTTTAGAATATTTAAGATATAACACAAAAGTCAATAGTTTTATGACATGGCTTTCACCATGCAAATTCTCACCAAAATCAGATTTTAGACACACAAAAAAAGTCAAATTAGTGAATCAGTTCTTTAATGTAAATGTATCTATTCCAAAAAATGATTCACAGATTTTTTTTTTAAAATCCCTTGAAACCCTTTCGGCATCTTTTTTGTTTCAAAATATTTAAGTTAACTGCAGACTGTCAAAATGTTTCCATCTGATACAGTGTGTTTTGAGTATTATTACATCCATCCATACAGATGATCTTTTGCCAAATACATTTTTTTTTCTGACAAATCTAATCTGATCTATATTTAAAGGTATACACACTATCGTTTTTGCAAAATTGATATAATGAGCGAGTACACCATGAATCTATCTTCCAAATAAGTGTTTATATTCATTCAGACTATTTTAGGCCGAGTGGGATAACAGCTGCTGCAGAGTAGCCCAGTATCTGCATGACTCGTCATAGACATTGAGAGAAGTAGCTTCGGCTAATGCTCCTCCGCCAGACGTATGCAGTTTTGTTTATTAACTGCAAGAGCCCCAAAAGTTGCATAGTGTGCCTTTAAAGAGATGCCTCTGTAAATAGCTCCACTTTAGTTAAGATATATTCAAAAAATAGTAGTCTATAGCTTTAAAAGTAGCATAAAAGACTGACAAAAAAAGGCAGTAATGGTAGCAGCTTGAGCACTTCCCCAAAGATAAATAAAAACAAACTAAATAAATCAGTTAAATCTCCAAACTCCTCCCTTCCACCCTGCTTGCTGCATCCCTGCCTGTTTTTCCAGAGAGGTGAGGACCGCCCTGTGCTCCTGAGAGAGAGGAAGCTTGCTGAGAGCGGCACGCTTCACTACAGAAACACCTGCTTTTGTTAGCTCACTACGCCACTTACTCTCACCCTCAGGGACGTGCCACGGGGAGGGAGGGGACTGAGGAGACACAAAGCAAACAATGTCTCTGAGCTCCATGTCATCTGGATGAGAAAACAGATCCACCCCCGCCTCAGAATACAGAAAGAACAGCTAAGTAGGCTAACAGTATTCAGACTTTTAGGGATGTCAACTTGAAAGTTTCTTCTGTGTGGAACATCACTCTTTCCTTTTACATTGTTTTTCTAGACAGAAACATCATTAAAGGAATACTGCACTCATTACAATTTTTATCATTTATTCACTCCCATGATGTTTGGATGAAGACCCCTCCCAGATAAAACCTGTATGATTTTCTTTCTTCTGGCTACTTTTCGTTATCCATAAAATGAATGCGCATGAGGACTGGTGCTGTTAAGCTCCGAAATGACTAAAACGTGCTACAAATGAATCATAAAATTGGTTCTTATTTGATCATATATATATATATAAACTGGATCAAATGATTCATTGAAAAGGTTACTCAAAACAATCATTCACTGTTATGTCACAAATTTCAGTTTATAGTGACTTAAATTAAAGTATACAAATCGTTTTTTAACTTTACAAGACTTCAGATACAGCACAAAAAGTAATATGAACCGCTTTTTATTATTTTTATGGCATTTTTTATATAACGTTTAAGCTTGACAGCCACAGTCCTCATTCATTTCATTACATGGAAAAGAGTACGGTATTCACCCAAAAATTCAATTTTGTGTTCCACAGAAGAAACATAAATGGGTTTGAAAATTCATGACAGTGAGTAAATAATGACAGATTTTTTACATTTATTTTTATTTTGGATGAACCATTCTTTTAATGACGCAATAGTAAAATTGATGAACACCAGGCATTTTTCTCCTCTCTGTCGTCCATCATGAGAGTCCCTGTAAATATGTAACTAATAAAGGAGTTCATCTGCAAGTATATTTTATGTTGTTTGGGAGAGATTCGCTGCGCAATATGATGTGGTTTGGGTTGTAGCACTCATCCATATTTCACAAAGACCGCTGGGAATTGAGTGCTATGAATCCTGTAACTGTCGAAATTGAACTGTCCTTTTAACACAATTTAATTCAAAGCACCACAACAAGATGAACTATAGGCCAAAAAAAGTTTCTCATTCACAGCATCCATGTAATCTTTGAGAGTTGCACATCTTTTTTTTTTGCAAAAGGGAAATGTGTCTTTTTTTCCAGGCCTTATCTTTTCAGAATCAATCCATTATTCGTAGCTTATTTGAAAAAGCCTTGCATCATCAATGAGGAAAGGGTGTGCTGACAATGGCATTAATTACTTTATCTTAATCATTTCCAATTACCCTTACACCACCTTACAAATAGAGTCTTGCCAGGCCACCCTGAATGACGCCGTCTCCTAAAGACAGACAGACAGATTTCTAAAAAGGGAAGAGAAGAAGAGAGAAGAGAATGTAGAGTAGGGGAATTTCGTGTAGAGAAAGATAAGACTGTCACTTAGTCTGAGGGCACTTGCTTTGATGACTACACATTACATTATGATTAATTAATTTCACATTGATATAAGTTTTGGACACAGGACTTCCTCATTTTTTTTTTTATTAGATTTCAGGTATATTAAGAAAAGCATGCTGATTGCTAATTATCAATGTAATGTGGGAGGATATCCTCTTTGCTGTCCTGTGAGTTGAAAAAAAAAAAAAAAAAACAGTCTCTACTTGATCTTTTCTTTTGAATAATCAATAATGGGCTTTGAAAATGTGTGCATTTAACAGTATAACCATTTAAAATAGGAAAATTATTGATCAGTCATTCGACAAAGTGAAATGAAATACCTTTGGTGTGAGTTTCATTTTATGTGTCTAGAATGAGCGAGTTCATTGACGATGTTGGTGATCGCTGAGGAGGAAAAACACAGTCTATGCTGGAACTTTAAATGTTCATTAATGCTGGCAGAAGAACTGAGAAGTTTGGAGTTTAATAGTAAATAAAATACAGCTGCAGTGAAGACTGCGTCTAGACTGTTACTGAAACAGCAAGACTTTCACTGGTAGAGGGAGAGTAAAGGAAAGAGAGATCAGAAAGTAAGAAAGATAAAGACAAGAGAAGACTACTACTAAGAAAATGACTGGAATATTTTTAATAATAGTTTACAAACAGTATATTTTTTCCGATAAAACTTTATTTTAAGGTGACGTAGTTACAGGTTACTACATGCACTTACTATATAAATGACAGTAAATTATGCATAATTGCTAACCCTAGTAACTAACCCTAAACCAAACCCTAACCGTAACTCATGTTGTTAATAAATTACATTTACTAAGTACTTATTTGAGTACCAAATTCTATCCATAACAGAACTTACAATTCATAATTTTATTGATTTTTTTGGAATAAATTGTATTTCAAAATTTTCCAGATATATTGAGAGTGAATGAATGAACAGAACAAATAAATCCACAAATAAGGTGGGTTTCATTCAGAGTACTCTAATCTGCCTTAAGACATTCCTTTCCTATCATTAAAAAGTACAAACTTCTGCGTTGAAAAACGGATGTATAATAACAATTTGAAAGTAAGACTTGAGATCTAACATGCAAACACACTTGAGAGTGTGCGATTGACCATCTCTTTATTAAACATGAGGCAAAGTTCCATACCTGTTTTTGGATGTAATTATAAAGCAAAAAAAAAAAAAAAAAGTGGGGGGTGGGGGTTTTATTTATTTATTTATCTCAGAGCTCATGGTCTCTCATGGAAAAAAGGGGGGAAAAACAGCCCCGCTCTCATCTCTTTTTGATGTGTTTGCCTTCACGGCTTCTGAGCGCTCTCTAATTCCATCTGGCCACAACAGAGGCAGTGGAATGGCAAGAAAAAGCATTTCCATATGTGCAAATTAGGAGCTTGCCTCCACAAAACTGCAGCGCCATTCCTCTGAAGTAGATAGCACTGCAGAGATCTGCCAAGTCCTCTAATGGCAATCAAGAGGAGAGTTCTTATTGGCCTGTCTACCTCGGGCTACAATAGTGCATTTTCATCTTGTAATTTCAGGTCTCTAGTATACAAGTGGTATACAAGTGATGCCATTTTTTTTTATTATTTATAATATATATATATATATATATATATATATATATATATATATCACATTTTATTAATTTTATGTCATCACGTGCACCACTTGCAGTATGTACGAATGACAACTAGTGGTCGAAATAGGTACTGTAAGTCAAATGTAGTCAAAATATCACCACCTGCTCCTCAGACAACGCTCACACGTTTTGCCAGTTGGCAACATGCAATAAAACGTCTCAGGTTACGACTGCAACCATAGTTCCCTGAGAAAGGGAACAAGACGATGCGTCAATGACGCTTTGTCTTCAGATCGCTTGCTGAGGCAACAGAAGCTAATGCCGGTTTGGTCATGACGTCACCCGCCCGTGACGCTCATTTTTTCCTGTGGACTAGTTGACATAGATGCTTCAGATGCAGTCACGCTGGGGGCGTTCCCAAAGCGTTGTTGACGCATCTTGAGTTCCCTTGACAGGGAACAACAAACATTCCAGCCTGGAAACGCACATCTCAAAGTATAACTGGCTGTAGAAGTGTTTTCAGATAAACGAGTATGTGAAGCATGAGCATGTTTCCTCAATATATGCAAACATATGGTGTATTTATGCTTTAATAGAGTGAAAAAGTTACATACTCCCACTTTTCACGAACAGATCAATTCCTGACAGTCCAGCCCTAAATCTGGTTCTCGTTGAATATCCTTTTTTATTCAGAAACCTTAACTTGTAGTGTAGTGCTTTACGTGCTGTTTTATACTACAGGTCTATGATTATGCAACACCTGTACTGTCTTGCATACAAAAATTAGCTTAAACAGTGACAAGCCCTACAGAGTAGAGATATCAGCACTTTATTAAAGTAGAAGACTAGTTTTTGATATGTCTCTTAGTCCACAATCCAATGACAAGCGCTTGCTGCTCCCAAATGTACATCCGTCCTTCAGATATTTGTTTGTAAACCAGTGCTTGCTTTCAATAATATCCTGGAGTGATGCCCTGGACGGGCGAAAAAAGATCCAGCTGGCTGAAATCTCAGACAGGAGAAAATGCCACTAGTAATAAACATACAGCAAAGGGCATTGTTTTATGCATCAAACCCACATGCAAAATCTCTCTCTCTCTCTCTCACACACACACACACACACACACACACACACACACATATGACAGAGCATTTATTACCTTAAAGAAGTGCAAATGCTAGTGCTACACTAATGTAAAGGTTTTTGGTGGACAGGTAAAACATAACAAAAAAAAGTAGGCTTTTGCTATGCACATGCAAACATAACATTACAACACTATTGAACACATAGACAAACAGAGCAGTGCACAGGCCCTCTCTACCGACTGAAGTTGAAGTCATTCTCCTCTCATCCTTTATTGATGGGCCAAGAGCTTCCATGTCTTTTGTGAGGGCAAAGAAAAAGGCTGAAACCTCACATATGTGCGAGCTTATTCTTTTCAAATTTGTAGCAATCCTAGAGATGGGTTTGGATGTTCCTGAATGGCACACACACACATAAACGCTAATAGCGTGCTTTCAAGGGCTAATCTGAATAAAAGAATGGGAAGGTGGCCATCATGGCTTTCACTGAACAAACATGGGAAAGCTACTCGTCTGTTGACCCCACACAAACACCCAGTTTAAATATTTTTCATTCACTGTTGATGAATGAATCATTGAAAATGAACACAAATGTTAGCGATCAATATTGGACATTTGAGTGAATGCATTTTTCTGTAGTCTAATGTACAGTATCCATTCAAATTTAATAAACGTGTTCAGTGGTGACTTTTTTTTTAATATTGAAACTGTATAAAATCTAAATGTGCACCAAATCGTCCATCAAGGCATGTATGAGGCAAACAACAGTAATTAAAGTTAACTGGTACAAAAACGGTGACAAAATTGCCTTTGAAAATCATCTTTAATGCACGTTTGTTTTTGTTTTTTTTTCTCTCCACATGATTTTGTTCACGTCGCAGTCTATATGTCACCTTCAGTGGGACGCAATGTAGAAAATTTCACTTTATTTTTGCAGTTGGATGCCAGAAAACCCGTAGACACTAAACATGAGAATTCACTCGCAGAGGAGAAGAAAAAGGAAAAAAAAAAGTCACTTGATTGGTGACAAAAGATAACAAGAAGTGGCTGCAGGGTGCCTCCCAAACCCTTGCTGTCTCAGAGTGGTGTGAATCGACCCCATCTGGTTTCATCTCACATCCCCACTCAAGATGGTGCCTTTCCTGCAAAAGCCATAATAGTATATAGATATGAGAGACAAAATATCCCTGCCAGAGTCCCTGGTGACTTAAATCAGTATGGGATCCCTCTAGAGCTCTGTCTGTTCTCTGGCCAGAATTGCAGTACACTTTAAGTAGTCCAATTTAACGTGAGAAACCATGGGCACTGCACTCCCAGGGAAGGAGGCAAGTCTCTGTCCATCTGTGGCTTTGCTTCCTGTAGGGGCAGCCTCAAGAAGAAGTCTCGGCGAGGTTTGCGAGACTTAAATGTTTTTGCTAAGAGGACCGAAGCATGGGGTTGCAATGAAATCAGTTTGTTTACCTTTACAAAGTGCTTTAATGTGATAATATTTCCGTATTAAAAGGGAGAGTTCACCCAAAAATGATAAGTCTGACACCATGTCCTTCCAAACCTGTATAACATCTTTCTTCTGTGGAGCACAAAGGGAGAAAAACTGTACGTGTGTCGTGTCACTGTACGTATGTGGTAGTCACACACATGCAATTCACCCTTCGCCAGGATTCTGATTGACAGGCGATCTGACCAATCATGATGCTGCCGCCGTTGCTATCCACCATTTTTGCCAAAAAACAATCTGGACAGTTGATTTGGCACCGTCCTACAGGTGGGACGTTTGCCACTATATTTTTAAAACAATAATATCTTAGTAAATACCTTAAATAATATTGACAAACTATATATCATTTGAAAGCTTACAATCTCTAGTTTGATTTTCAAAATATATTACAGAGGAGCCATAATTTATCAATATAAAACAAGAATATTTTCATACTCATAAGGCGTGTTCAGACCTTTATTTTAAAATAGCAGTAAACATGAAAAATCATGAAAAAATGGTAGATACCTCAGTTTGTTTTCATGCCAGAAGTTCAAAAGACAGAATCCATTCAATTATTTTGAAAAAAAAAGGTCTGAAAAGTTTGAAATATCAAGAAAAAAATAATAAATTCACCATTTGTGACGTGGCAGCTAGCTATGACTTACATGTGTGTTCTTTGTATGTGTTTCTTAGAGGTTCAATTCATATCAAAATCTGCCAAACTTCCCATGCTACTTCTAAATAGGATCTCTACTTTAGAAATTGTATGAAAATTGTGAAAATAATGGTTCATATCACTCAAAACACGAATGGAAATGCAGGCGCCCTTATATGGGCAGTAATGGAGTCTGATTGTGCCCTAGTGAAAAAGTTTGGTACTGCGCTCAAACAAAATCTTACTGAAAGCTCATTTTTTGAGATATCAACCTAAAATTTGAAACACAACTTGTTCAGATTTTTGGCTTTGATCTTTCTGCCATTTTAGAGTAGCCCAGGTTTTGAAAATATATATTTTATGTAAAATATGAATAATTAATATTTTTACATTGTACATTTCCATAAACTCAAACTTCTATAACTTTTTTTCTGTTTCACTTTCTGAATTTATTTCACTTCTACAAAAATCTGCCAAATGTCTTCTTTAAAACAAGACCAATCATATGTCTATATTCCAAAGCATTCTTGAATTACAACCATTTAAGTTCGAAATGTGCATTTTCATGTCTATTCAAAAAAGGGGGGGTGACAGTTAAGAGGTTAACGTTGGTGGACTTGAACTTAAAACATAGTATGCATTGAAGTCTTTCCACGATTGAAACAACATACCTTATTATATTCATTCATGTTTATTTTGTGCTATAACTAGTAGTAAAGAGGAAGATGACCATTGGTTCACGTGTCGCTTGAACTGAGGTTATCTGTCAGGACACATTAAAGAGTCACAAACCGTTTTAATTGTTACTTTTATTGTTATGTTTTTTAAAGACAAAATTTGAAGCTGAGACTTTGTCTTGTCTGTCTGTGCTTTGTCAGTGTCCTCTATGCTCCGAAATGTATTTTTTACTGCATGAGATCATGAGATTACTGTTTACATGTGCACCAATAATGTGATTATTTCCAATAATCATAGTACAGACTTAATTGCAGTAAGATGACACAAGCAAACCTCTTCAATACCGTTCACATGCAATTTTCATTATTCTGATTATTTACTATACGTTATTTTTAGTGCTATTTTCCGCATACGCCACAGCACAAATGATGAACTCGTGTACAGTAGACGTGTTACTGGCCACTGTTTTAATCTAAATGCATCAAATGCAAATCACGTTTCTATGGACATATTGAAAGGTTATTCTGCTGCATGACGAACATCGCAATGCCGCTGTAACTGGGTTTGCAAATACTGCATCACTTTCTTTGTGTCATCTTTGCATGAAGATCAGAGGGTAGAGAGTTGTGTTGACTTCAGAATAATGTCACAGAGTTCATTCATGAAATTGAACAACACACAAACTGAGCACATGGTCAGAGCGCCAATAAATGTGTTTACATGCCTGTTTATTGCGATTCAAATAGTTTGTTAGTGATTGTTTACTACGATTATGAGCTTAAACACATTAGTTTAATCGAAGTGTTGTGTTCACATGGGGTAAAGTTTAATTGCAATATTGCTAAAATCCCATTATAATCTCATTAGGGTGCGTGTGGCGTGAGAAATCCGTGGCTGGTACTGAACACTTGTCGGATGTACAGTAGCAACAGTAACTAAGGGGAAAGGGTCTTTGTGAACGGTCAGTTACAATCAGTGTTGTGCAAGTTACTTCCAAACTGTAATACATTAGGTATTACTTGTTACTGTTATTTAAAAGTAATTCATTACCTTACAATATTACTGTCCCAGAATTGCAATGCGTTACATTACTCATGTATTACTTTTGAGTTACTTTCACCAAAATAACTAAGTAGAACTTAACTTTTGGGCTGTAACGATATGCAATATGAAACCGAAATCGCGATTCACCACATCCACGAACCTACAGAATCGCGACACACCTCTTCCAACTCCAGCGTTTTTCTCCTTACCGTCCTTATCCAATGCTGCCTTATCTTTAAATTAGGCTATTAGTATTATTTGAAGTTAACATTATAAAATACGTAGACCTACACCACAAAACTAGTTGAGGATAAATTATTTAAAATTGGGGAAGTCCAGCATTATGGACATTACATTTGCAGTCAAAACTTGAAATAAAAATTCTCAGAAAATTCATGTGTTGAAACGTACAGTATATAGGCTACTTCCTTAAAGGACTCCAGACATTAGACAAATATCAGTCTATGTTTTATTTTTAATATTAGGGAAAAGACAAAAAAATAGGAGGCAAAATCGATTTTTTGTAATTCTGTTAATTACACTGCGCAAATCGGATGAGGAAGGGTTGGCTCTCCAGTCTCCAAAGAACTTAAAATATTCATTTTATTTTAGTTTTCGTGTTCGCATTTATGAGGAAAAAACAATGTTACAGACGCGACCACTCTGAACTGGCACTAAAAGACTGCTTTAAAACTTTCACATAGTCTGTTGCCTTTAAGAAGTAAAAGCAGACAATACACATGCTTTTATCTCGTCTCGCTTAGACTATTGCAACAGTCTTTTTATTTGCCTTAATAAGAAGGATCTTGGTCGTCTCCAGACTGTCCAAAATTCTGCTGCTAGGCTTTTAACCCACACGAGTAAAAGGGCACATATTACTCCAGTTTTAGCTTCACTTCATTGGTTACCAGTGAAACTAAGAATAAATTTCAAAATTTTGGTCCTAACTTTTAGAGCCCTACAAGGACAGGCACCCCCATACATCTCTGACCTGATACAGCTGCGTACATCCTCACGTAGTCTGAGATCAACAGGCCAGAGACTATTAGTTGTCCCCCTTTCATATTTTAAAACTAGGGGGGACCGTTCATTCCAAGTTGTTGCACCCAGGTTGTGGAACGCTTGGCTCCTTCCATACGCGGCTTAAATTGTGTGGAACAATTTAAAAATCATCTGAAAACTCTGCTTTTTAAAGAGGCTTTTAACTAGATTGTAGGGTGGTTAGGCTGGTCTAATGTGTACGTATTGTTTATTTTATTTATTTTATGTATTTTATTTTGTTTTGTGATGCAATGTATTTATGAGAGTTGTAAATGCTTTCTTTTGTTGTGAAGCACTTTGTGATCTTCATCTGAGAAAAGTGCTATACAAATAAATTTTACTTACTTACTTACTTACTTACTTACTGTAATACAACTGTAATACAAGCCTCACTGAACATGTAACGAGTAAAATATTACTGAAAATTGATTAGTAATGCCTTACACTACTGCGTTACAGCAAAAAGTAATATGTTACTGTAATGTATTACTTTTGTAATGCGTTACTCCCAACACTGGTTACAATCAATGGAAACAGCGTTTTAAAAGGAATGCAAATGGAAATATCTTGAAGAATATTTTAAAGCATCATAAAAGTAGTCGCACACTGCAATCCAAGTTTTCTGAAGAACAAGTTTTCTAGTTTTCTAGCCAGTTAACAGTTGTGACTGGAAAACTCAAATTGGTTCAAAATTAATCATTCTGTGAACTGGACTAAACTCATTAAAAAAGATCTAACTAAAATGAACGACTCACTAATGAATCAAAGAAAGTTGGTCGTATCGGTTTGAAATTATATTTGTCCATAAGTTCATTCAATGGGTCAAAGCTACAGTAAGTGGACATTTAGATGTCTTGGGTAAACTCAGCATTGAGTTCAAAAGTTAATCTTTATGAATCATAACTTGTATTTATGTATGCCATAGACAGAATAAATCATGTGATTGCCTTGATTATGTAAACAGGACAGAGGAAAAAATAGACTGGAGCTCTGTGGCACTGATGAGCAACAGAACCGGAATCAGCTATTGATGACAACCACCATGAGGACGATGATGATGAGGACAGAGAGAGAAAGAGAGAGAGAAAGAAAGGTGTGAATGGTAGGCATTCTTCAAACAATACAGATCAGTCGTCCATGAATGTGGAAAAAAGTAATATATTCTTACCAATAACAAGGAAATACGCTGAATTTAGTAGCAGCGTTTGAGACTTAAAAAAAAAAAAAAAAAAAAAAAAATCACCATTCAAAGGTGACCACAAAAAGTAATTACAGAAACAATGGAGACCCATACAAAGTTCCTGTCTCAGTATTCATTAAACTTTAATTGCAAGGAACAACCAGAGCCCAGTCACCCTGGTTTTGATCAAACACAAGTTTACACACTACACTGCATCCAAACATTTGAATATAAGACATAGAAAGATTATTAAAATTTGCAATTCCTGCAGTAAACCAATGCTTGCATGGAATAAAAGAACAGTTACATCTTGATTTCTATTGGATTTTAAGAATTAACACATATTGTGAAAAGACTTTACAGTGTAAAGATAGGCCTACATGGTTAAACATATGCAAGATGTTTCTGAGTCTTTTTCCGAGTCATTTGGTTCATTCAAACGAATGAAACGAACAAATTGACTCGTAAAAAATATTCGTTCATTTTGATGAACAAGTTCGAACAGGAGAGTCACAAACATGCGTCACAGAACAGAGCAAGGCAGGTATTTGAGCTTATAAAACTTAAACTTTGTTATTTATTTATTAAATGAGAGTTTCGCTTTATAAGACCCTTATTCATCATCTGGAATCGTTTAAAGCCCTTTGAACAGTTTGCAGTTTGCACTGAAAATGTCTTTTAGACCTTGAACCGTTTGGTTCCCACTGAAGTGCATTATATGGAGAAAAATGCTGGAAAGTGTTCATCAAAAACCTTTATTTCTTTTCAACTGAAGAAAGAAAGACATGGACATCTTGGATGACATGGGGGTGAGTAAATTATCAGTAAAAGGTTTTTTTTTTTTTTTTTACTCCTTTAAGGACAAGTACACATAACTTTTGAAATAAAAAGTGATACAATTATTTGGAACAAATGGCTATTTGTTGTTGTCCTGCATATAATAATTGCAAAGTTGACTGTAGGTCTTATGGTGATAACTGTGAGGCAGTGCTGCCTCTAATTCTCCATTAGTGGATGAATTGCAATCTTCCGTGCATAAGAGAGGACTTTGATCTCTCGTTCTTGATTTAACCAAACTGGTTATTAATCATCTAAGCCTTAATTTAAATAGTCTCTGGAGTGGTTAACACATTGTGTGGGTAATATAATGTCCCATTCCTACTATGCAAATATAAGTTACTGTTGAGTTCAGTGCTGCCAAGTCCACTTGTCACTCCTGGAGAAAATAGCAATGGGCTATTTTGATTAGTCGTTGGGCTAGTTTTGTTGCACAGACCCTGTAACATTTACGGTTTTAGGATTTTTATGAAAAGTTAACAGACTAGTCTTATTTATTTATGTATTGCTAGTTTTATTTAATTTATATAATTTTCTAAAATATTCATATATAATTTAATTTATACAATGTTATTCTTAAATGTCAAAGAATAATAAAAATATCTTTTTTTTTTTTTCTTAACTGACCTGTGGTCTCATTAGTAGTCAAGTGCATTAACATTTGATTATTAATAATAAAAACTAATAGTAGCCACAATGTTGCTCATGATGGAAAGATGTCATAACTGTGGGACATAAAAAAGACATAGAACCTAAATAACACCTATACATAAAATGCATTTGAAAAGTAGAAAAAAAAATACTAATAAAGCCCTATAAAAAGTTTACAAAATTGACTCTGATCTTCATATAGCGAAAGTAAAATGGCTGAAATCTGTAAATCAACCCTTGCAACATAAAAATGGATGTAATTAAAGAAGCACTCAAAAATAAAATGGACTATGAAAGACAAGTTACAAAAGTGCATGCAAACAATTGGGGATAAAACACTGTTCAGTAATCATTCTTGTTTTTCTGCTGTTAGTTAAGAATATCTCCCACCTCCATCAGTGGAAGCTCTGAGGAGCAGAAGACCCTGCAGGTCCAAATGAACTGTTTTAGTCAGAGAGAGAGAGAGGCAGTGTATTCCTGGCTCTGTGCTCTGTGTGAGGTGTTAACCAAGTGAGAAGCGCGGGGACTCGCTGGGCGCCTGGCCCGCCTCCACGCACACCCACCACTTCATATCTTCATCTGATGTGTCAATCCCCAGACTGGCCTGGCAGGAGAGAGTGAGGAAAGGGTCACTAGAGATCACAGATGCCACCCTGTTCCCCTCTCTCTCCCTCGGTTTTATTTTTTTCACTAAGTTTGATAAGGATTAAATGGAGTTGAAAAACAAGCACTCCGAGGAGCATTCGGAAACTGAAACTGGACTCCAACGGAGTGGGAGTGCAAGTGTAGGGTGGGATGTTAAATAACTCGTTGATGGTACGTGCCACACAGGTACAGTAGCTTGTTATGCTATGAAATTGGCATACACAAATTTAATTTTCCTTCTCAAGGTTTCAGGTCATGTGAGCTTCCACAGTATTAAGAAACAAGCGGCAGTTTTACGCTCTGCCAACACAATAACTTCCATTATGATACCAATTTCAAGAAAATATATAAATAAAATAATTCAACTGAAAAAAAAAAAAAGAAATCTTCCCACCAGCAGTCGAACAAATGCGAGCGTTACGAACCAAGACATCCCTCTGTCCTTTAAAGCAATGATATGAATAATAACAGTAATGATGTCTAACGTGGGAGGAGATGGTTAGTGCAGTCGAGGAAAATAATGAGTTTTAATGCCAATGCTAATGGGCAAAAAATAGATCCCTTTCTTTCAAAGGAAGAGGAACGTTTAAGAGCTCTCATCCAGTGCTACCCTTGTGATAATAGCCACACTACCACATGTCTCTGTGTCCTGAAGAAGAAAAAAAATATACTTGTTAGACTTCTTAACACGCTTTGCGTGTTTTGAATTTGAGGACGCTGTCGTTCTGTTTTTGCCATCTGTTTGGCTCATTATGGGACATATCAATACTAAAATATTTGAAATTGTCATAATTTTAGGAAACCTTCACCACCTGTGCAGGCGTTGAAGTTTGTGTGCAGTGCTATTTTCTCATTGTACTTTCCCCCTTTTACAACTCTGCCATGTTCCATAATTTTTGCATTTAAATATATTAACATAATTGGTTTTCTAAACAAGAAAGAAAGAAAGAAAGAAAGAAAGAAAGAAAGAAAGAAAGAAAGAAAGAAAGAAAGAAAGAAAGAAAGAAAGATAGATTGAAAATCTATCTATCTATGGAAAGTATTTTGACGTCTTCTCGACTGCACTGACCTTCATGATCTGGTCATCGAGGACATATGCTAGGTCATCTTTCAGAAGCTGGTGGCTGGAACTTGAACTTGGTACATTGTTTGGTGTCAGAGAGCCCCTCTGGGAGGCTTGTATCAAACACAGCCTTCCTCCTTTATCCACTAAATGGCCTCCTCATATTCTTACTCCTTCAGAAATGCTTCCTCTTAAACACATTACTCGAGCCAGGTTTTATAAATTATGAATCATTTGATACAGACTAAATAAGAGTTTTAATGTTCACATAGATCACAGTCAGATGACTACATAATTGTAGGGTTTAGAAAAGAAGACAATACTTCTTTGTTTTCTGTATGGCAAATCAAAAATGTATTAGTTATAAAAAGTTGAATTATAAGCCATTTTCCTAATGAGGACCAAAAAAAAAATTGGCATTATTATCTTTGTGTATAGATACATAGAACGTAGGGTTTACCATGCAAACACACACACACACATGCACGCTCATGTTAATTTCGGAATTTCCATAGACATAATGATTTTTATACTGTATAAACTGTTCCTTATTTCCTAATCTTAACCCTAAACAACCCTCACAAAATACATTCTGCATTTTTTTCAATTTCAAAAAACATAATTTATAAGCTAATTTCCTC